CTAATTGTCAATGAACATTTTTGTTACGACGCTCACTCTGGATAATATTTATTGTTTAGATCTTGTTGAATTCACGTCTTTTGCGTGTTCTTGTTGTTGACTTTCCAAGAACCGGGTGCACTCTTAATGGGATTCAAACGTGGCTCGGAGACTGGTTCACTTCAGGGCGTCAAATTGATAGAATTTCTCTTCGAGCAGTTGGCGGAGAAGCAGAACTTCAAAAGGTCAGCTCTTTTAACGTTTTGTTTTGCTGAAGGTATTTTGGATGCAGTTCTCAGAAGAACCGAAACATCGACTTGACTATTCCATTCTAGGTTGCCTAGATAATCCTTAGAGGCAATTCGAAGCAATTGGTAGTTTTTCGGATAAAATGTGCAATTTTTAGTTCTTGCACAACTTATCTGGACAACAAGCCGCGGATTACCGCCTTTTCTTTGAAAAGGGCAAATGGGGACGTTATAAAGGTTGAGGTCGATAGATTTGTACCAGGCTATTGTGAATCAGGCAGTTTTGGGTATGTTTTAGCATGGGTTTTTCTAATACATGGACCACTTGGAATGAAACTATCTATTACAAAATTGTTTTAGATTCTGCGTCACGCGAAAAGTGCCTTGTCGGGAAGAGGACTTGGCATTTCGTCGGATAATGGACAACATTCATTGCTGATTTTCAATTCAAAGCTGTTATTTGTTCTTTATGAATTTGTAATGTATTTTAAAGCTTAAGTTTGGATGTTGTAAATTTTGTTCATTGTGATTGCTTTAACTGTCTCGACTAGACTGTGTTTGCAATCAGAATCAATAAACTATTCAGAATCAGTTTTCCATTGCAAAGCCTTTACCCGATATTTTTGAATAAAACGTAACTCCTTGTCTATGTGTCTCCTTCTCATCATACACACAGTATGATGAGTGAGATAGACATAGGGAAGGGGTCTAAAAAATGGTCTCTTTGACTTGCTTAAGACCATACCACGTTGAAAACAAGGCATCCCGTCCGATCTTTTTTCGGGCTTTTTTCGCCTGGGCCTGCGTTTCGACGCAATTTCTTAGCAGATCGGACGGGATGCCGTGTTTTCAACGTGGTATGGTCGTAAGCAAGGGGCGCACTGTGACGTTGACATGTCAAGTGATCGAACAAAAGAGAGAGTGCACCTCTCTCTGTTTCACCCCCGAAGCGATCGTTCACTCAAATGATGGTTTGTTAGTGTGGTTGAATGAAGAAAAAATACCTGAGTTTCGAGAATTTTACTTTCAACAAAAGAAAAATGAACAAGAAACGCTGATAGCGCTGTTTTTGGATCGAAAGTGGTGTGGAGTCAAGCCAAGAATTGACATGAATGTGATATTTATACCGAGATTGAATCATTCGGTTTGATTCACAATTTGGTAACAAAAAGGCGAAACCTCATCAATTCCAGTTGTAGTTTTAAAAATAATTTTGTTTTGTTCCATCTTGTGTCAATTCTATTTCTGTTCAATAAATTGTTGATCGAATAAATAAAATATTAATTCTCTACCATCCGTTCATCGCTTATTTCAGGCAAGAAACACAAAAATAACTTTGTCATTTAACTATGAGCAAATACCTTCTTTATCTGGCTTTCTTCTATTTTTTGGCTTTCTCAATTGTTGAGCTAAAGCTCATAGTCTAACAGTTTCTAAACTATTTTGTGATCTTTTTTCAGATGTGCCAAGAGGACAGCGAATGTTTGCCGAAGGGTTGTCAACGTGGTAAATGTGGCGGTATTCCGTATCCTTTCTGCAAAGAATTTGTTTCGCAAACCCAATTTTCTTTTGGTTGATGTCATCAAGAACGCATGATTTAACGATTTTTGCATATGATTGCTGACTATTTTCTGATTATGCAATAGATTTTTGTTGATTCAACTGGAGTACTAAAAGAATTCCCGTATTTTTGCTCTGTTCACCTCTCAATTTGACCTTTTTAGGCTAGGAATTGTTTGTTTATCATTTTTTAGGCAACGACAGATTGATATAAGCAAAAAGTGAACGACAGTTATTGTCCATTTTCTATTTTCATATTGATTGGAATGTGCAGATTTCCTTACATTTTCATACTCACCTTATCAGGTGTATCGAGTGATAAAAGTGAGTTTTACTTTTTGAGAAGCTTGCATTTTTTAGAACTATTAACTTTTATCAGACTGTTTAACCACAAGATTTGAGAAATAAGTTTAAGCTGGCTGTCAAGGATGCTCAAAAACAGACCCACCCGGCTATGCTGGTTTCAATAAAGATTTAATCGAGTAAGTTTGTTCAACATTTTATTTTCCGATTTTTATTTTCTTTATTTTATTGGAAAGGTGATGAAACCAAGCAATTTAGAAACCAAGCTGATGGTTGTTTAACGCGAAAGCTCACTTGTCATCAACCAAATTATGTGGTGAGTTTAAAGCCAAAATGAAAAGATCGGATTGGTTCAATCCTTAAGATTCTGAATCTTCCAGAATTATCAGAACTAATTGTCGTAAAATCCTTCAAACAAGAAACGAGAAGTTTCTTCAGGTCTATCGTGCAACCAGTGGAACGGTGAGTCAAGCGGATCCGATTTTGGTGCTCGATTGCAATAAGGATTCCAAATGGGTGACCCGTGAGGAGAAGTGGCGCGTTGAAAGTGTCGATTGTCACAATTCAACTGAACCGGTTAGCATTTCAGGTCACAAATCTTCACTAAAATCTTTTTTTAATCATCTTTAATCAAAAATCAAAATCAATCTCATTGTTATAAGGAATATCTTTAGAAAAAGCCAAAGTCCGTTTGTAAATTGGAGAAGATTACAGGACCGTGCAAGTAAGATTTCATAAAACAATTGAAGATGTATAATAATTCTGTAACTCTATTGCTGAACTGAACGGGAAAATTAAATGTGATGGAGATTTTGGTACTTAGACTAAAACTCATTGTGATGAGATCTGCAAAGTGAACAAGTGAATGATTGAGAAGTTTTCAGATCTGAATTCATAAGTTGAATAGGCCAATGATCATTAGTAATAGGAGAATGACTGTGAATTGAATCAATTTGAGAAATGCAAGAAAAGTGAGAACTGGCTTTGAAATGGATTGGTGTAAAGATGGGGAAATGAATTGTTTTGGAAAGAGAACTCAAGACAACTCAAATTTGAAGCGAATATAGTTTTCTTTTACTAAGAATTATTCTGCATTGGATTGAGTTTTGAAAATTGACTGAAAAACAGAAGATTTATTGGTTTTTTTTGTAAAAAATCGTGCCAAGTATTTATTTTACTGCAAACAAAACTGATAAATATAAAAATAGAATGAAAACAAAAACATTTCGCCAGTTTAAAACCAGACTGATCCATTCGCTTTGTTCAAAGACTCTTCAAATGCTCGAAATTTCTCCTCCAATTCTTGATCCATTGTTGCGAATTTCTCCCGATATGAATCAAGAATTGACTAAAATTGAGTCATTAAATGAAATGGTTAACATTTCATGATTTTACCTTGATTCGGATCTTCTTTACTTTCGGGATTTGCTCGATCATTTCGGGGAGTTCACAAAGGAATTCTAAAAAAAATCCTTCTACATGAGTTTTCCTTGAAAAAATTGATCGTGAGTAATTTTCCTATTTAACTTTTTCACCGGGCTATGTACCAATTCTCTCTTTTACCTCGTAGCCAATTATCTCTCGTTTCAATTGAATTTGGATAAAACGAAAAATCATTACAGATCGAAGATTTTATCCTATAGAGCACGTGTCCTATAGGATCAACTGGTCGATGCGTGCGTTAAAAAACATTTTGTGCAAAATTTGTGTTCACAATTCAGAAGAACGGGTTTGCTTTCATCTTTCTCCATCGAGCCTTAATACAATTTTTGGATCCTTACATTTCATATCACATTTCGAACAATGGAATGGATTGGTGATTGGGGAAAGATTTTACTGAATTTGGTCAATGAAAAATTGCTTTTTAACCTCCGAAAGAAGCCATCCATTCCCATTCGGAGATTCGATAATTGATGGATCGTTTAAAAGATCTGAAATGATTCGAATGAGGATTCGTCAACGAGAGATTATGTAAATATTACCGCGTGAGAAGATGGGGTATTTGTAAGGATAATAACAATCCCATCGAAAGTCACATTTATGTTTTCTTTTCCTTTTTTTTCAATCCACTCTCTTTTCGCCAACATTCATCACAAATCGATTTTCCACACAATAATTCATATGGATATTTGGGACCAGTACTTCAATTCAAATACAAGAGAAAGTGATAATTAGTACGACTGATTTCAGACTACAACTAATCATTTTCAGCAAAATTCAACAAGAAAGTTTTGAATCTTAAAAATCCCTTTTTCTTCTTATAATTCATAAAACTCACAAGGAGATTTGCAGAGAGAACAGTTCAATGAGTGGAAAATCTTCAGTTCCGAGCTCATCTTTCTAAAAATCGACAAATAAAGAGAAGAAATCGATTCGAAAAGGGAAAATGAGGGAAAATGAAGTCAAATTGGGTGATAAGACGTGGTGGAAATGGATTCCAAAACAAAATTTGAGAAAAGTTTATGCTTTGCAAGAATTATTATTTAAATTGCCAAAAGGATAAGCTTCTTTTTCTCGCATATTTATTTTAAAAGTTACATCAAAGTAAAGGATTCAATCGAGATTATTCTCAATCGAACTCCATTCATTCGTTCCATCAAAACCGATTAGCCTCAGAATTTTTGTTTGCTCTTGACTGCTTTGTTTATTATTTATTGACATTTTTCATTCTCGTTGTTCCTTCTCGGTAAAAACATTCATTGCAAACAAACGCAGACGCAGGAGTGGTAGTTTTTGCTAGAAACAGGCGAAAAAGCAGCAAAGAAATCTTGCTGAAACTGATCAAACCATGAAATGGTCGATGATCAGTTTATAACCGGTGATCACTGTTGCAGAATTCTGTAGCTCAATTGCCGAATGGAACGGGAAATTTGAATGTGAAGGAGATTTTGGTACTTAGATTGAAACCCACACCGGATTTTGAAAAATGAAATGATTGAAAAGGTTTCAGATCTGAATTCATAAGTTGAATACTAGTAAAGAAGAATGACTGTGAATTGAATCAATTGAGAAATGCAAGAAAAATGAGAACTGGCTTTGTAATAGATCGGTGTTAAGATGGGGAAATGAATTGCTCAAGGAATTTTTGCGGACAAGGAGAAACCAAAAAACTCAAATTTGAAGCGAATATAGTTTTCTTTTACTAGGAATTCTTCTGTATTGGATTGAGTTTTGAAAATTGATTGAAAAATAGAAGGATTTGTTGGTTGTTTTTGTAAAAAAATCGTGTAAAAAAAAGCATCTTATTGAAATTTATTGAAATACTAGTAATGGGAAAAATATCTCGTATTTTACTGATTTTCAACCTCTTTTCAACCTCTATTTTTTTGGTTGTTTTAGCTGTACAGGGTTATCCAGGATTACGAAGACCAGGGGTTTCGTTGATATTGCATATTTTTGCTTACAACCTATATATTGTTTTTGTCTTTCTTTTCATTTATTTTACGAACATGGACTAGATATGTACAGTCCTTTAGTCCCGGACAACCCTTTACATCTTGCCTTCATCTTGCGATCGAATATAGCAATTGAGCTATCCTTTATTCAAGTATTCTTTATTCAATTTTTCAAAGATAAATTTATAACTGTACACAAAATCATTAAAATTTTACCGGTATAACAGTTAGAGCAAGAGATTTTGGAGGAATTTCAATGCTTCTTTGAGGTTTATTTGCAGAAATAGGCTTATTTTCTTCCGATTTCACCGTTTTGACCGTTGTTGGGAGATCCGCCTTGTTGGCCACCGAATCCACCTGAAATCTCAGCATTTCAAATAATATTCAGTTATAATATTGATTAGAATTTGTTTAAAACCGATTTCCAGCCATTTTCATAACAAACCTTGTCTTCCGAATCCACCATTTTGCCCATTTTGTCCGTTTTCTCCACCGAATCCCCCTCAAATTTCAGAAATATAATTAGAATCGTTTTTGTATTCAAATTTAGAGATTTGTATGCAGATTTTAATGACTTTATTATTATCAACTTTGTCCTCCGAATCCATTCTGTCCATTTTGACCGTTTTGTCCGCCAAATTGTCCTTGTCCACCAAATCCACCTATAATATTCCACCTAATATTCACTTTATAGGATTCTACAGTAATCACTAGTATTAATGGAATTACTGTGTAGAAATTGACTTTAGTGCAAAATACGGTAGAGCAAGTGGAATCACTTTTTTTCAGGGAGGCTAGAGAGATTCGAGTTTAAAATATGTATTATTGGTTATTGGAATACAGTAGTATTCCATTTTCAAATCTTATTAAAATAAAAATACAGTATTCTAATCTATTGTTAAAGTTTTATTAAACTAACGAACCCTGGCCTTGTCCACCGAATCCGTTTTGGCCGTTTTGTCCGTTTTGCCCGCCAAACTGTCCTTGTCCACCGAATCCACCTGTAATATCGAAATTTTATATGATATTTAGTTATAGTTTTAGATAACATATGCAATTTGAAGTAATTCTTAGGATTTCCGATTAAACAAACCTTGTCCTTGTCCTCCGAATCCCCCGAATCCTCCAGATCCACCCTGTTGTCCTCCCTGTCCACCGAATCCACCTGAAATTGTTAAAAATAAATAAAAGGTATTATATATCTGTAGAATTAACATTTTATGCAAATTTCTTACTTGATAAGTGTATTAATATTTTTACGAACCTTGTCCTTGTCCTCCAAATCCACCCTGTCCCTGTCCATTTCCGTTTCCACCGAAACCTCCTGAAAAAAACACTAGGAAGAAAGAACCACCCGGAAGAAAAACAAACATTTAAAGATAATTTGCTTTTGTTTATATTATATAAAATCCAAATCTATATAGTAATGAAATTTTATGCAATTTCCCCTCACCCTGTCCAGATCCACCGTTGAATCCGCCCTCGAAACCATCCTCTCCATCGTCTTGGCTACTGCTACTGTCTAGAAAAGAATAGATATATAAATTTGTATGTAAATCTAGATTTATCTATATCTGTATATTGACTAACCAGTTCCATTCCCTCTCGGCCATGGGCTGAAATATTGATTGATATAAAATTTATGGTTCTTCTTGAGACATTAATTCTACTTTGCAATCAGCTTTACAATCAGACTCATCCAACCAATATTCCAAAATTGAAACCCACAAAGCAGCAAGAACAGCGAAAAGGGCTGAGGCAATGAGCAGCGTCTTCATTTTTAGATTACTGTAGAAAAAGAATGAAATTTAAAAAGAAAAAACAGATTCTGGATGTCACTCTAGCAAGTGACCCCTTTAAATACAAAATTTCCCCCCAAAAGTTGTTGATGTGGATGAGTGGACTGACCTCTATTTGCATATTTGTCCTTTTCAAGGGATTTGAATATTTTCCCGAACATCTTTTATGAATTCGTTATTTGGCAACAGCTACCCACACAGTGAGTCAGAAATTTTTCAATTTTTTTCCCGATTTCCCAACTTTTCCCCTATATTTTGTTTTCAGAGCTATTTTTGTCTATCGTAGATTGTTGATGAACCGATGTTGATGAACCATTATCCCAAGTATACCGCTCAGAAAGATACCTTGAGACAATTTTTAATGGTTTGAAGCAGAGGTAAAAATTTGTTTGCTTTTCAGAGCGATTTTTGTCGATCGTAGATTTATCGAAGCAATTTTAAACGGTGTCTTTTTGAAAAGATCGCAAAAAAAATGAACTTAGAAAAGTGTTTTTCGGAATTTTTTAACGGTTCTTCCGAGATAAACAACGCCGAAATGGAAGTCCCGGCCTTAAGAAATCATGTAGCTCTGTGTTAACCACTAAATCCGTTAGACGTTTCTCAGACTGTTTTTTTGGGTTGATTAACCATTTTTTAGTGATTTTATCACTTTAGGTAAGCTCTAGCAAGTTATACTTTTGAATCAATCTTCAAGTTTAGCATCAGGGCTTAAAGCTGCAATATAATTTGCAATTTTGCAAGATTAATGAAAAGCCTCTGTTAAATGGCAGCCTCTTTGTGAAATACTTTTATTTCCTAAAACTCCTTTGGTACCCAATAGCGGATGAGAAAGCTGATGGAGTGAGTCTCGAGTGAGAAACAGAGCCTTTTTACCATTTTATTTACCATTTTATACGATCGACCTCATATTGTAAATCTTGAAACATTTGCTTGATCAAAGTCAAACTCGATACTAGTAGATGCAGAAAGGTTTCAGCCTCAATAAATCTGACATCAGATCAAAAAAATATTGTGTAATTTTCCAAATCAAAAAGTTTTTGATTTCATTAAGTCTTTCTGAGGTCACCACCAATTGATTCGAATCAACAAATGAATTGGAAAGTTTTGGGAAGAGGAGCACTTGGCTTTGTCGAGTTAATCAGTGAGAGTTTGTTCTCTTGAAGTTTTCTTGAAGATTGATAAAACCAAAACAAAAAAAATGACGCATGCCAGGCCAAACCAAGCCAAGTCAGCTCTCAGAAATTCCAGGCCAAGGCCAATTGAAAGCTACTGTCTTTGACTTTTCTTCCAACCCTTCTAACCACCAATCACTTTGTGATTTACAATGTGTTTGGGGTTTTTGGAGGAGTCACTCTAAGCTAGTGTAGCTATAATCTTCATACTTTAAAACCAATTAGTTCATAAAAATGTCAAATACCATTGTCGCGCAAGTGTTAATGCAAATTTTCAGAACGATTCAAAAACTGGTTTTCAAGAAATGCGAAATTTACGAATTTTCACAAAACTTGCATTTTAAGCAAAACTACTCAGTGTATCTTTTTGGAAATTTGGCTATAAGCCTAATTTTTGATCCTCTACAACTTTTCTATTGACACCAAAATGGGTTTCTTTTGAAGAAAGTGCTCAAACTGGGACATCTCCAGTCCTCCATTTTTGAGTCTCGCACTTGTCTCACACACAAACCAAAATCCTACTACAAAAGAGGAATTCGCAAATTGCCTGTAAAATGGGCAGAAGTCGTCAATAATAATGGAACGTATTTGGAATGAATTCATGTTCATTAAATTTTAGTTCAAAGTCCGGCAGTTTTCAATTCACCAACCCAATAACAACCTAAATCAAACCATCTACGTGAGCTGAGTAATTGATGAATCTGAAATGGGGAACTCGAAGGAATAATTGGTCTAATGAATCAAGATTTCATCTTCAATAATATCAGAAGGCATCTCATCATTCCAAATAAGCAATGGTGAGGAAGGAAAGAAATCCGATAAGAACAAGTGATAGTTAGAAGGGGCAACGTCCGGTGAATACAGTGCATGAGGAAGGTTATTCTAGGGTAGATTGCCCTTTACAAAATGGATCGGTCTTTCTGATTTGTGGGAACTTGTGCCATCGTGAAGCACGAAGACGGAACCGTTTCATTTGTTTCATTTATTTTACTGAAACCAAAAATGATAAATGTAAACAAGAATGAAAACAAAAACATTATGTTAGTTTAAAGCAATCAGACTGTTCCATTCGCTTTGTCCAACGACTCTTCAAGTGCTCGAGAGTTCTCCTCCAATTCTTGATCTATTTTTGCGAATTTCTCCCGATATGGATCAACAATTGACTAAAATTGAGTCATTAAATGAAATCGTTAACATTTAATGATTTTACCTTGATTCCGATTTCCTTTACTTTCGGGATTTGCTCGATCAATTCGGGGAGTTCACAAAGAAATTCTAAAAGAAAACTTTCTGCATGAGTTTTCCTTGAGAAATTGATTGGAAGTAATTTTCGTATTTAACTTTTCGCACTGCATTATGTACGAATTTTCTCCTTCACCTCGCAGCCAATTATCTCTCCTTTCGATTAAATAGGATTTTGGATAAGATTGAGAATCGTTACAAATTGAACATTTCATCCAAAACCAGCCAGGAAAAGAATGAGCTGTCTGATGCGTTAAATAACATTTTGTGCAAATTGCGTGGCCACAATCCAGAATAACGGGTTTGCTTTCTCCATCGAGTCTTAAACAATTTTTGGATTAATCTCCATTTTCTCACATTTCACATCACATGTCGAACATTTGAGTGGATTCGTGATCGGCTGAAGATTTTACTGAATTTGGCCAATAAAAAATTGCTTTTTAACCTCGGAAAGAAACCATCCATTTCCATTCGGAGATTCGATAATTGATGGATCGTTTAAAAGATCTGAAATAATTCGAATGAGGATTCGGCAACGGGAGATTATGTAATTATTACCGCGTAAGAAGCTGGGGCATTTGTAAGGATAATAACAAGTCAATTGAAAGTCACATTGATGTTTTCTTTCTTTTTTTTCAATGCTCCCTCTTTTTTCCAACATTCTCCACAAATCGCTTTTCCACACAAGAACTCATATGGATATTTGGGGTCATTACTTGATCTCGAATCTGAAAACCATGATTTTTTTTCAAATACAAGAGAAAGTGATAATTAATACGACTGATTTCAGACTACAACTAATCATTTTCAGCAAAATTCTACAACAAATTTTTAATTCTTTTAAAAACCTTTTTTCTTTTTCTAATTGATAAAACTCACAAGGAGATTCGCAAAGAGAAAAGTTTAATGAGTGGAAAATCTTCAGTTTTAAGCTCATTTTCTTCAAAAAAATTGAATAAGATGCCGCAGAAAGATTCTTAAGAGAATCGATTTGGAAAGTGAAAATTGAGTGAATGAATCTGATGGATCAGTTGGTGATAAGAACAGGGGAAATGAATTGCAAAAGAAATATCGAAAAATGAGCTTTTATTTCTTGTATTTGAATTGAAGTACTGGTCCCAAATATCCATATGAATTATTGTGTGGAAAATCGATTTGTGATGAATGTTGGCGAAAAGAGAGTGGATTGAAAAAAAAGGAAAAGAAAACATAAATGTGACTTTCGATGGGATTGTTATTATCCTTACAAATACCCCATCTTCTCACGCGGTAATATTTACATAATCTCTCGTTGACGAATCCTCATTCTAATCATTTCAGATCTTTTAAACGATCCATCAATTATCGAATCTCCGAATGGGAATGGATGGCTTCTTTCGGAGGTTAAAAAGCAATTTTTCATTGACCAAATTCAGTAAAATCTTTCCCCAATCACCAATCCATTCCATTGTTCGAAATGTGATATGAAATGTAAGGATCCAAAAATTGTATTAAGGCTCGATGGAGAAAGATGAAAGCAAACCCGTTCTTCTGAATTGTGAACACAAATTTTGCACAAAATGTTTTTTAACGCACGCATCGACCAGTTGATCCTATAGGACACGTGCTCTATAGGATAAAATCTTCGATCTGTAATGAGTTTTCGTTTTAGCCAAATTCAATTGAAACGAGAGATAATTGGCTACGAGGTAAAAGAGAGAATCGGTACATAGCCCGGTGAAAAAGTTAAATAGGAAAATTACTCACGATCAATTTTTTCAAGGAAAACTCATGTAGAAGGATTTTTTTTAGAATTCCTTTGTGAACTCCCCGAAATGATCGAGCAAATCCCGAAAGTAAAGAAGATCCGAATCAAGGTAAAATCATGAAATGTTAACCATTTCATTTAATGACTCAATTTTAGTCAATTCTTGATTCATATCGGGAGAAATTCGCAACAATGGATCAAAAATTGGAGGAGAAATTTCGAGCATTTGAAGAGTCTTTGAACAAAGCGAGTGGAACAGTCTGATTGCTTTAAACTGACAAAATGTTTTTGTTTTCATTCTATTTATATTATTATCATTTTTGGTTTCAGTAAAATCAATACTTGGCACGATTTTTTGAAAGAAACAACCAACCAATCCTTCTGTTTTTCAATCAATTTTCAAAACTCAAAAAAATTCCGAAAAAATCCTTTCCAAAAAAATTCATTTCCAAAACAATTCATTTCCCCATCTTTACACCAATCCATTTCAAAGCCAGTTCTCACTTTTCTTGCATTTCTCAAATTGATTCAATTCACAGTCATTCTCCTATTACTAATGATCATTGGCCTATTCAACTTATGAATTCAGATCTGAAAACTTCTCAATCATTCACTTGTTCACTTTGCAGATCTCATCACAATGAGATCACAATGAGTTTTAGTCTAAGTACCAAAATCTCCATCACATTTAATTTTCCCGTTCAGTTCAGCAATAGAGTTACAGAATTATTATACATCTTCAATTGTTTTATGAAATCTTACTTGCACGGTCCTGTAATCTTCTCCAATTTACAAACGGACTTTGGCTTTTTCTAAAGATATTCCTTATAACAATGAGATTGATTTTGATTTTTGATTAAAGATGATTAAAAAAAGATTTTAGTGAAGATTTGTGACCTGAAATGCTAACCGGTTCAGTTGAATTGTGACAATCGACACTTTCAACGCGCCACTTCTCCTCACGGGTCACCCATTTGGAATCCTTATTGCAATCGAGCACCAAAATCGGATCCGCTTGACTCACCGTTCCACTGGTTGCACGATAGACCTGAAGAAACTTCTCGTTTCTTGTTTGAAGGATTTTACGACAATTAGTTCTGATAATTCTGGAAGATTCAGAATCTTAAGGATTGAACCAATCCGATCTTTTCATTTTGGCTTTAAACTCACCACATAATTTGGTTGATGACAAGTGAGCTTTCGCGTTAAACAACCATCAGCTTGGTTTCTAAATTGCTTGGTTTCATCACCTTTCCAATAAAATAAAGAAAATAAAAATCGGAAAATAAAATGTTGAACAAACTTACTCGATTAAATCTTTATTGAAACCAGCATAGCCGGGTGGGTCTGTTTTTGAGCATCCTTGACAGCCAGCTTAAACTTATTTCTCAAATCTTGTGGTTAAACAGTCTGATAAAAGTTAATAGTTCTAAAAAATGCAAGCTTCTCAAAAAGTAAAACTCACTTTTATCACTCGATACACCTGATAAGGTGAGTATGAAAATGTAAGGAAATCTGCACATTCCAATCAATATGAAAATAGAAAATGGACAATAACTGTCGTTCACTTTTTGCTTATATCAATCTGTCGTTGCCTAAAAAGTGATAAACAAACAATTCCTAGCCTAAAAAGGTCAAATTGAGAGGTGAAAAGAGCAAAAATACGGGAATTCTTTTAGTACTCCAGTTGAATCAACAAAAATCTATTGCATAATCAGAAAATAGTCAGCAATCATATGCAAAAATCGTTAATTCATGCATAAATAAGGAATTTATAAGCCAAAAAGCAGTTGACGAAAATTTAGCACGATCACATCCACATGTACCCAGCGACCAAAACCGGCTAAAATTTTGTAAACTTACGCTAAAAGTGCATGATTTAACGATTCTTTTAGTACTTAGTCGAATCAACAAAATCTATTGCGTAATCAGAAAACAGTCAACAATAATATGCAAGAATCGTTAAATCATGCGTTCTTGATGACATCAACCAAAAGAAAATTGGGTTTGCGAAACAAATTCTTTGCAGAAAGGATACGGAATACCGCCACATTTACCACGTTGACAACCCTTCGGCAAACATTCGCTGTCCTCTTGGCACATCTGAAAAAAGATCACAAAATAGTTTAGAAACTGTTAGACTATGAGCTTTAGCTCAACAATTGAGAAAGCCAAAAAATAGAAGAAAGCCAGATAAAGAAGGTATTTGCTCATAGTTAAATGACAAAGTTATTTTTGTGTTTCTTGCCTGAAATAAGCGATGAACGGATGGTAGAGAATTAATATTTTATTTATTCGATCAACAATTTATTGAACAGAAATAGAATTGACACAAGATGGAACAAAACAAAATTATTTTTAAAACTACAACTGGAATTGATGAGGTTTCGCCTTTTTTTGTTACCAAATTGGAATCAAACCGAATGATTCAATCTCGGTATAAATATCACATTCATGTCAATTCTTGGCTTGACTCCACACCACTTTCGATCCAAAACCAGCGCTATCAGCGTTTCTTGTTCATTTTTCTTTTGTTGAAAGTAAAATTCTCGAAACTCAGGTATTTTTCTTCATTCAACCACACTAACAAACCATCATTTGAGTTAACGATCGCTTCGGGGGTGAAACAGAGAGAGGTGCACTCTCTCTTTTTGTTCGATCACTTGATATGTCAACGTCACAGTGCGCCTCTTGCTTACGACCATAGCACGTTGAAAACACGGCATCCCGTCCGATCTGCTAAGAAATTGCGTCGAAACGCAGGCCCAGGCGAAAAAAGCCCGAAAAAGATCGGACGGGATGCCTTGTTTTCAACGTGGTATGGTCTTAAGCAAGTCAAAGAGACCATTTTTTAGACCCCTTCCCTATGTCTATCTCACTCATCATACTGTGTGTATGATGAGAAGGAGACACATAGACAAGGAGTTACGTTTTATTCAAAAACATCGGGTAAAGGCTTTGCAATGGAAAACTGATTCTGAATAGTTTATTGATTCTGATTGCAAACACAGTCTAGTCGAGACAGTTAAAGCAATCACAATGAACAAAATTTACAACATCCAAACTTAAGCTTTAAAATACATTACAAATTCATAAAGAACAAAATACAGCTTTGAATTGAAAATCAGCAATGAATGTTGTCCATTATCCGACGAAATGCCAAGTCCCCTTCCTGACAAGGCACTTTTCGCGTGACGCAGAATCTAAAACAATTTTGTAATAGATAGTTTCATTCCAAGTGGTCCATGTATTAGAAAAACCCATGCTAAAACATACCCAAAACTGCCTGATTCACAATAGCCTGGTACAAATCTATCGACCTCAACCTTTATAACGTCCCCATTTGCCCTTTTCAAAGAAAAGGCGGTAATCCGCGGCTTGTTGTCCAGATAAGTTGTGCAAGAACTAAAAATTGCACATTTTATCCGAAAAACTACCAATTGCTTCGAATTGCCTCTAAGGATTATCTAGGCAACCTAGAATGGAATAGTCAAGTCCATGTTTCGGTTCTTCTGAGAACTGCATCCAAAATACCTTCAGCAAAACAAAAAACGTTAAAAGAGCCGACCTTTTGAAGTTCTGCTTCTCCGCCAACTGCTCGAAGAGAAATTCTATCAATTTGACGCCCTGAAGTGAACCAGTCTCCGAGCCACGTTTGAATCCCATTAAGAGTGCACCCGGTTCTTGGAAAGTCAACAACAAGAACACGCAAAAGACGTGAATTCAACAAGATCTAAACAATAAATATTATCCAGAGTGAGCGTCGTAACAAAAAATGTTCATTGACAATTAGGTCAAAACAAACCGTGTCATTCAATGGATCATTCCCCCAACCCTCCAACCAAACTTCCTGCAATCCAACCGCATAATCATTCGTGAAAAAATCGCTCGTAACAGGAAAAACAGGAAAAATTTCCCACGCGCCTTAATCAACCGAATTTTAATTCGTTCAAACAAACTTACATAAATCGTTAGCTCTTGCGTTGGTCTTATACTGCAAAACATATCCATGAATCTTTCCGGCGAAAGAGTCGCCCCATCTTCAACAAAACAAATCAATATCTTGCATTCGAACTTGCAATTTGCAAACATTTCCCAATTGACATACATCTAAAAGACAGATTTTAAGTACCAGAAAACAGCAGGGGACACTAACCAAACTGAGGGTCTTGAAAGTTGTACGCTCTCCCAAATACTCCAAATGTTGCATCAAATTAACTGGATCGATCGTTTCTCTATATCTGTTCCTTGCTCCAGAGTCATAGTAAAACTAAAACCTTTTTTGTAAATAACGCAACAATGTCTTACCTGGTTTTTATCAACATGAAGCTCCTCGAAATAAACGCGAGGAAGTCTTGCTCTGCGCAGCTCAACCCTCCTATAGCAATCCCTTGAGAGCAATCGAACACAACTAAAGCAAAGATTAGCGTTAGAAAATGAAGGCTGGAAACTTTTCGATGACGCGCGCTGGAAGTTTCTTCATCACCTCATAGAAGACGACATCGGGAAGTGCTTCGAGGAAGTTGACAGAGGGGGTTGACATGGGCTGAAATAAAGCTTGTACAAAACATCCACTGGAAAGCAATCACAAACTACAATATTTAAAATGAATTATAGCTAAACGCTCACATTCAGTTGCTCCTTCTGAAAGCTTTCCATGATTTCCGCTGGGTTCGTCATCATTGGAAACTACCGTTCTAAAGAAGTTTGTATAGAAGGGATGAGCAAAAAGTTAGATAACATAAAGAAACGAGATCGTGAAAGCATAGATGATAAATGAGCAGAACAAGAAAAGACCCGGTAGTAACCCACGGTGATAAGCCTTTTGTTTGAGACTAGAGTATTCAATCAAGCAGCAAAAATTTGATGATTATGATTCAGCTTGATGTAGGAAGTCTGAGGATTTAAGAAGATTTGGGTTAAACAATGGAAGATGGAGATCTGGAAAGCAAGATTCAATTTTGCGATTTGAAATTGAACCACAATTATTCCCAGCACTATCAGTTTTCCACTATCATTCCCAACACGGAATGGATCGGAAAAGATGTCAAAAGATGTGCCCCCCTTCCTGGAGCTGACCAGTACTCGATTGCCCTTGAAATCCAAGCCGAGGGACCTAACGATTCACTTCGCGGGAAGGGTATCAATGGATCTTTCTCCTCTCGCTTTCATGTTTCCAGTGGCATCCCACTAAAAGCGGCAATGGCACTATCATATAGTTTTATTCAAAAGTTTTTTGATATTTTAGAAATGAAGAAGTCACGCTTCTCACCGACTGCCTGAATGTAATCATTTTTGAATAAAACTATATTATCGTGCAATTGCCGCTTTTAGTGGGACTGGAAACATGAAAGCGAGAGGAGAAAGATCCATCAAGGGAAACCATAAAAGTACGGCCAGTAAGAAACTCCTGAATAAACGCTCTTATGTTGCTGCAAATCCCGTAAGCTTACAGATTGAGTAGACTAAAGACCGAGATAGGTTTTTCAAAATGAAAGAGGTTACTTTGTCCGGACTAATAGTCTTTTTAGGGTGTAATTTGAAGACAGCCGCTTCTATATCTAAAGGGGTAAGTAAAAAGTTTGGTTGTACTGGAGTATTACTGTTTCCGGTTGTTGAAAAAGTTGGTAGAGTATTACCGCTAAAATCTGAAAAGGTGGAGCTAAAAAATTTAGCAAAGAGATTTGCTATATTTTCAGGGTCAGTAACAGGTAATCGGGGATTGTTGGGATCAATAAAGGAGGAAGCTATCGACTTCGGGTCCTTAGTTTTCGAATTAATATAGGAAAAAAACTTTTTTGGGTTGTTGGAGTTTACCGCCCGTTTCTCTGTATTAGATTCGAATTTATGAGAGAATTTAGAGAGTAGTTTCTGAGCACGGGAGACTCTTGGATTATCCCTTGATGGATCTGGGTAACGGGAATTTGCTAATAAGTCTCTAAGTCTCTTCTCTAAGTTTTTTTGCTCTAAGGGTGTGGGGTGGGGGAGGAGAATTTCTCGTGAGTACAGGCTGCTTGAACGGATATCAGTATACTAGAATATAAGTAACTATAATCAGATTCAACAGTTGTTGAAACCGAGCAGAACATAGGTTTAGTTAACTTTTCGGTTCGTAACACCGCGGCTAAGTCAAAATTAGTCCTAAAATGCAAACATAAATTGATACCCTTCCCGCGAAGTGAATCGTTAGGTCCCTCGGCTTGGATTTCAAAGGCAATCGAGTAGTGGTCAGCTCCAGGAAGGGGGGCACATCTTTTGACATCTTTTCCGATCCATTCCGGAGTATTAGAAATCACCACATCTAGGATAAAAGAAGAGCGGATGAATGAAGTAAAATTATTCAGGAAAAAAAAGACCGTTTGAAAGCAAAAAACCATGAAAAAGCTTGCTAATGGGTGATTTTGAATAAGGTCTCTTTGTTAATTTACTTGACTTGAGCTCAATTCGGCAGTTCCAATCACCCAATAGTAAGTTAGAAGGCTGGTTGTGAAGATAAAGCGAGATTAGGTCAAAAATCTTGGATGTTTGGGCATAATCAGTATCGGGGGTCTCAAACTTGGGTATACTAATTATACTTTGAAATTTTTTTAATCATTCTTATAATCGATACTAAGCAGAATTGGGTTTGCGACTCAAAAATTTAGATCGTTTCCTATGCAGAAATTATGCTACGACCTAAAGGGGAGATTTTAGAGAAACCGGCCCGAAGAATCTGATTGAATTAATCAAAGCGAATGTAGGATTTCAATCGCTATTGTTTCGGACACCTTGGATAGTTTCTGGAAAACACGTGTTCAATGTATGGACTGATAGTGCTGGGAATAATTGTGGTTCAATTTCAAATCGCAAATTTGAATCTTGGTCTCCAGATCTCCATCTTCCATTGTTTAACCCAAATCTTAGATCCTCAGACTTCCCACATCAAGCTGAATCATAATCATCAAATTTTTGCTGCTTGATTGAATACTCTAGTCTGAAACTAAAGGCTTATAACCGTGGGTTACTACCAGGTCTTTTCTTGTTCTGCTCATTTTTCATCTATGCTTTCACGATCTCGTTTTTTATGTTATCTAACTTTTTGCTCATCGCTTCTATACAAACTTTTTTTAGAACGGTAGATTTCAATGATGACGAACCCAGCGGAAATCATGGAAAGCGTTCAGAAGGAGCAACTGAATGTGAGCGTTTAGCTATAATTCATTTTAAATATTGTAGTTTGTGATTGCTTTCCAGTGGATGTTTTGTACAAGCTTTATTTCAGCCCATGTCAACCCCCTCTGTCAACTTCCTCGAAGCACTTCCCGATGTCGTCTTCTATGCGGTGATGGAGAAATTTATGTATTCTACTCCTCTACGAACACGACTCTTTACAACAATTTCAACTCACAAGATGTTCTGATGATAATTAGCAAAAATCAATTTACATTGGAATGGGCGAATTTGAATTTAACGGTCACATAAAAAGACACCACCGAATATCTCAGTCTTCAAAACATTCAATTGCGGTCGATCGATCAAAACATGGTTGGTTTTTTATATTCTTTTTATTTTGTCATTTTGGCAGTTGCCTTATAAATTAATTTTCGCTGTTTATCTTTTATGAAATACAATCTAATCTCGATATAACGACTCTCGATTCAACGACTTTGACATTCCGTTATTTTCTTTTAGTTCTGTCGTTCTCCTCCAACAACTTCAAATATAAATGAGAACAACACGCGCCACAATGCCACAATAGTCGCAGCAGAAGAAAGCAGCGGTTTGCCGTTGTGGGCGATTCTGCCTTTTGGTGGGTTTTGCCTTTTTGTTTTAAAGTATTTTGTTTAGTCGTGCTTGCCTTTCTCGCAGTTGTTTGCTTCGTTATCCTTCTCATTGCCACTAGGATCAGAGGTTTCGCCAGTGTTCGCTTTTTCAGAAGTCAGTTACCTTTTTCTTTAGTTTAGTTTCATTATTTTTTTTGGTCACGGTTCGTTTCGCCACTTTTAATTTGCAAAATTTTTCCTGGAATGCATATTTTTTACGATCTTAATTCAGATTATTGTTGCTCGGTATGAAAAATAGTTTGAAAAAGCTGGATAGTTTATGTGCATTCATTCATATGTAGTCCAGGAATATGAACATACAAAAGTGTCGAAATTAATGGTTATCAATTTAACTACAACATCCAGACGAATAGTAATAAAGAATACGTTTTTTTGGATATGTGTTAATATGGAGGTCTCTATCGTTTTTTTAATTTTGGTTTCTTACGAAGAGTCACTAATTTCTTTTTCAGAAACAGCACATGAGCTCGAAAATGGATTGTCTGAAGGTTTGTTAATTTTTCTCGTTGACAATCATTGTTTTCGCTATGAAATCATTGTTAACAAGGTACCCCATTAGAATTTCACGAAATTTTTACTTCAATACATATTCTGCTATCTTTTTTGGGTTATTGTTTATCGTTTTCTACATTGAAAAAATATAACACGTGGATATCGGATTAAAAAGTGTTTAAAAGATGGTTTAAAAGGTTTATATTTAAAACATTTTTTGGAAATGTTATTCGAGAAAAGTTATGCAAAAAAATAAAAGTGTCGAAAACAAACATTAACTTGACTTTTAATTTTTATTCTGACGAGTGAAGTATTATCAATTCTCCTTTAGGTAGAAGCACCACAAGACTCAAGGCAGGAGGCAAAAAACGAGAGCCCTCAGGAAGCAGAGCAAGCAAACAATCATCACAAAAGATTCATCTCGGCTTTTCTACACATAACCCACCTTCAGATCGAACTTCTGCGACTCAGGTAAAATCTTATTTTATTCAAAGGTCTATTTGATTTGTTTAGTCTATTATCGCCAACTTGAAAGTTAACACATCCGAGGTAACTTTATAGAATAGTTTAATTGATGGGAATCTATTCGAAAACTAAAGTCTATAATTAAAAGGGGTTTTATCAATCAATGATCAATTTTCTTATTTTTAGTCTTTGAAAACCCGGGCAGAGCGTTGGGAAAAGGAGAAGAACAGTAAGGGAGTTGCGCAATGCTTCGGTGGGTTTATTTGTTTTTTAGATTTAACCAATTCTAAATTCATGAAGTGCTAGTGAATTCTAAACTATTTTGTTGAATGATTTAATATTTTGCTGGTACAATGGTTATTTATTTGTTAGTTTTACAGGTTTTCCACATGGATGGGAACAACTACAAATGACAAGGCCTTATCAACAATTCGACCAGTCCAACATCTATGTCTACTGTGATTGCTCAGATTATCGACAAAACACCGGAATCGGAGCCTTTTACGGAATCGGCCACCCACTCAATTTGTAAGTGTTTTTGGTTACTGAATATAAGGGTTTTTAGCAAAGAAGATATTGATTGATGTTTGAATGATCTAGTAAAAAAAAATTTTCAATAAAAATTTCAAAAATTTTTTGGGTTTAGCGGTCTAAATATTGGGACAACGCGGCACCCATTTTTTGGCGAATTATTTGCTATCAATGCTGCTCTACATTGTCTTTCACAATGGGGTGGATACAAGTAAGCATTCTTATTTGTATAATAGTAATAAATTTAGACAATTTTCCCTATAACAAGCTTTTTGATATTTTAGAAATGAAGAAGTCACGCTTCGCACCGACTGCCTCAATGTAATCATTGCCTTGAGGAATGTGAAAAAGAATGAGAACGAGCCGTTGATCGACGACGAAAAGACGTTGAATGATTTCAACGAAGAAGAAAAAAAAGAGTTGGTCTTTACATTTGGATTTGTTTATAATTTGCGTTTAGAGTGGACAACTTGTTTGAGCTTCTGCAGTCTTTTCGAAAGATTACGATTCAATGGCTCCCAAGTCATACCGGAGATATGGGGAACGACTATGTAATGCTTTTGAATATGTTCTTTAAGAAATGAATTTATATTTACTTTTTATTTTTAGGCTGATGCACTTGCTTACTTTGGTAGAGTTGGTACTACGACCCAATGGAAGTCAGTGTACGATCACGAAAAGTACAAGCTCGCGGCAAAGTGGAACCAACCACAGCACGAAATTACATTTGGTAAATGCCTAAATATTTTTCGATTTATTAGCAAGAAACTAACTTTATATTTGTTAAAGAGAATGTCTATTTTAGGTCATGGCAAAACGGACTCGAAGAAGCCAAAACTCAACTACCCTTACGAAGGAAAAATTCACAAGTTTCTGGAGGACCTTCAGATTGAGGAGATAAAGCAGATTAATGAGTGAAATAAATGCCCCTGCAATGAAATAAATGTTTATTATATATATACTTTATTCGGCAAGTGAATAAGTGGTCCAGCAAAATCTACAATCACGATGGGAATTACAATCCAAAGGAAGAGATCAAATTATTGTGCCAAACAAGAGACTACTCTTTAAAAGCGGGGAGAGATGACAAGTTTCTGACGCTAAGAGGAAGGGAATTCCATGAGCGAACAACACGATTGTGAAAGCAATTCAAAGTAACATCAGAAATGGATCTAAGATACTTAAAAGATTAGCCTCTTCTGGAGCTTGAGGGAGCAGAGGTAGGAAAGAAAACCGCATAAAGGGGATCAGAATGTTTGCACTTTAGGATTTTAGAACATTCTAGTAAGTCAATGACTAGCCGGCGGTGTTGCAGAGTATCTAATTGGAAAACTTTAAGCCTTTGTTCATAGCTGTAGTTATGATACTTTACGTCATCAATTTTTAAGAGGGCAATTTTAGTATAGCGCTTTTGCATTGACTCGATCCTGTTAATCAGACAGATTTTAGAGGGGGACCATACTATAGAAGCGTACTCTAAAATGGGTCTAACATAAGAGATAAAACAGCGTCTATATGTCCTAATGTTAGGGTTAATAATAGATTTAAGAATTCCACTTGTAGAGTAGGATGCCTTCAAACAAATCTTGTCTATATGACAGTCGAAAGAAAGGGGAGGGGATAAGTACACTCCTAAAACTTTGACCACTTGGTCGCTACTAGGGGGGATAGAGAGGTATTATTTATCTTCAAAGGAATTCGAAGTTTACCCGTCGAAAATTACTTTTAGACTCAGATAGCTTTAATTCCCAGGTTTTTGCCCAATTTTCAACCTCCTGGAGGTCCTTTTTGCCAGGTCATTTATGTAGTGTAAACAAAATAGGACCTAGGATTGAACCTTGTGGGATGCCACTGGAAACAGAAAGGGGAGGAGAAAGATCCATGCTATATTTTCAGGGTCAGTAACAGGTAATCGGGGATTGTTGGGATCAAAAGGAGGAAGCTATCGACTTCGGGTCCTTAGTTTTCGAATTAATATAGGAAAAAAACTTTTGGGTTGTTGGGTTTACCGCCCGTTTCTCTGTATTAGATTCGAATTTATGAGAGAATTTAGAGAGTAGTTTCTGAGCACGGAGACGCTTGGATTATCCCTTGATGGATCTGGGTAACGGGAATTGCTAATAAGTCTCTAAGTCTCTTCTCTAAGTTTTTTGCTCTAAGGGTGTGGGTGGGGAGGAGAATTTCTCGTGACTACAGGCTGCTTGAACGGAAGTCAGTATACTAGAATATAAGCAACTATAATCAAATTTAACAGTTGTTGAAACCGAGCAGAACATAGGTTTAGTTAACTTTTCGGTTCGTAACACCGCGGCTAAGTCAAAATTAGTCCTAAAATGCAAACATAAATTGATACCCTTCCCGCGAAGTGAATCGTTAGGTCCCTCGGCTTGGATTTCAAAGGCAATCGAGTAGTGGTCAGCTCCAGGAAGGGGGGCACATCTTTTGACATCTTTTCCGATCCATTCCGGAGTATCAGAAATCACCACATCTAGGATAAAAGAAGAGCGGACGAATGAAGTAAAATTATTCAGGAAAAAAAAGACCGTTTGAAAGCAAAAAACCATGAAAAAGCTTGAACATGAATCATGAAAATCCGGAAAAAGCTAATGGGTGATTTTGAATAAGGTCTCTTTGTTAATTTACTTGACTTGAGCTCAATTCGGCAGTTCCAATCACCCAATAGTAAGTTAGAAGGCTGGTTGTGAAGATAAAGCGAGATTAGGTCAAAAATCTTGGATGTTTGGGCATAACCAGTATCGGGGGGTCTCAAACTTGGGTATACTACATTATACTTTGAAAATTTTTATAATCATTCTTATAATGGTTCATAAGAGAAGTGATCTGGCAATTATGTAAACTTTCCTCTAGCAACTTTTAATTGCAAATATCTATCTATTTGTTTGTGACAAATTTAAGTGATTTTTTTATTACAGATAACAAGACACTACGCAGAATTGGGTTTGCGACTCAAAAATTGAGATCGTTTCCCATGCAGAAATTATGCTACGACCTAAAGCGGGAGATTTTAGAGCAAACCGGCCCGAAGAATCTGATTGAATTAATCAAAGCGAATGTAGGATTTCAATCGCTATTGTTTCGGACACCTTGGATAGTTTCTGGAAAACACGTGTTCAATGTATGGATTGATAGTGCTGGGAATAATTGTGGTTCAATTTCAAATCGCAAAATTGAATCTTGGTCTCCAGATCTCCATCTTCCATTGTTTAACCCAAATCTTCTTAGTCCTCAGACTTCCTACATCAAGCTGAATCATAATCATCAAATTTTTGCTGCTTGATTGAATACTCTAGTCTCAAACAAAAGGCTTATAACCGTGGGTTACTACCAGGTCTTTTCTTGTTCTGCTCATTTTTCATCTATGCTTTCACGATCTCGTTTCTTTATGTTATCTAACTTTTTGCTCATCCCTTCTATACAAACTTCTTTAGAACGGTAGTTTCCAATGATGACGAACCCAGCGGAAATCATGGAAAGCTTTCAGAAGGAGCAACTGAATGTGAGCGTTTAGCTATAATTCATTTTAAATATTGTAGTTTGTGATTGCTTTCCAGTGGATGTTTTGTACAAGCTTTATTTCAGCCCATGTCAACCCCCTCTGTCAACTTCCTCGAAGCACTTCCCGATGTCGTCTTCTATGCGGTGATGGAGAAACTTCCAGCGCGCGTCATCGAAAAGTTTCCAGCCTTCATTTTCTAACGCTAATCTTTACTTTAGTTGTGTTCGATTGCTCTCAAGGGATTGCTTTAGGAGGGTTGAGCTGCGCAGAGCAAGACTTCCTCGCGTTTATTTCGAGGGGCTTCATGTTGATAAAAACCAGGTAAGACATTGTTGCGTTATTTACAAAAAAGGTTTTAGTTTTACTATGACTCTGGAGCAAGGAACAGATATAGAGAAACGATCGATCCAGTTAATTTGATGCAACATTTGGAGTATTTGGGAGAGCGTACAACTTTCAAGACCCTCAGTTTGGTTAGTGTCCCCTGGTGTTTTCTGGTACTTAAAATCTGTCTTTTAGATGTATGTCAATTGGGAAATGTTTGCAAATTGCAAGTTCGAATGCAAGATATTGATTTGTTTTGTTGAAGATGGGGCGACTCTTTCGCCGGAAAGATTCATGGATATGTTTTGCAGTATAAGACCAACGCAAGAGCTAACGATTTATGTAAGTTTGTTTGAACGAATTAAAATTCGGTTGATTAAGGCGCGTGGGAAAATTTTTCCCTGTTTTTCCTGTTACGAGCGATTTTTTCACGAATGATTATGCGGTTGGATTGCAGGAAGTTTGGTTGGAGGGTTGGGGGAATGATCCATTGAATGACACGGTTTGTTTTGACCTAATTGTCAATGAACATTTTTTGTTACGACGCTCACTCTGGATAATATTTATTGTTTAGATCTTGTTGAATTCACGTCTTTTGCGTGTTCTTGTTGTTGACTTTCCAAGAACCGGGTGCACTCTTAATGGGATTCAAACGTGGCTCGGAGACTGGTTCACTTCAGGGCGTCAAATTGATAGAATTTCTCTTCGAGCAGTTGGCGGAGAAGCAGAACTTCAAAAGGTCAGCTCTTTTAACGTTTTTGTTTTGCTGAAGGTATTTTGGATGCAGTTCTCAGAAGAACCGAAACATCGACTTGACTATTCCATTCTAGGTTGCCTAGATAATCCTTAGAGGCAATTCGAAGCAATTGGTAGTTTTTCGGATAAAATGTGCAATTTTTAGTTCTTGCACAACTTATCTGGATGGCAAAATATAAAACGGTTCGCAACAAGCCGCGGATTACCGCCTTTTCTTTGAAAAGGGCAAATGGGGACGTTATAAAGGTTGAGGTCGATAGATTTGTACCAGGCTATTGTGAATCAGGCAGTTTTGGGTATGTTTTAGCATGGGTTTTTCTAATACATGGACCACTTGGAATGAAACTATCTATTACAAAATTGTTTTAGATTCTGCGTCACGCGAAAAGTGCCTTGTCGGGAAGAGGACTTGGCATTTCGTCGGATAATGGACAACATTCATTGCTGATTTTCAATTCAAAGCTGTTATTTGTTCTTTATGAATTTGTAATGTATTTTAAAGCTTAAGTTTGGATGTTGTAAATTTTGTTCATTGTGATTGCTTTAACTGTCTCGACTAGACTGTGTTTGCAATCAGAATCAATAAACTATTCAGAATCAGTTTTCCATTGCAAAGCCTTTACCCGATGTTTTTGAATAAAACGTAACTCCTTGTCTATGTGTCTCCTTCTCATCATACACACAGTATGATGAGTGAGATAGACATAGGGAAGGGGTCTTAAAAAATGGTCTCTTTGACTTGCTTATGACCATACCACGTTGAAAACAAGGCATCCCGTCCGATCTGCGAAGTTAAGCAACGTTGGGCTCGGTTAGTACTTGGATCGGAGACGGCTTGAGAATTTCGAGCGTCGTAAGCTTTTTGGCTTTTGTTAGACACTCACTAAACCACAGAGAGCATGTGTTAAAGTTAGAAATCTCGAATCGAATTTTTTCCACGTCCCACCAGCGTCCACAATAGCAAAATGAAGAGCGGGCTTTTTCGCCTGGGTCTGCGTTTCGACGCAATTTCTTAGCAGATCGGACGGGATGCCGTGTTTTCAACGTGGTATGGTCGTAAGCAAGGGGCGCACTGTGACGTTGACATGTCAAGTGATCGAACAAAAAGAGAGAGTGCACCTCTCTCTGTTTCACCCCCGAAGCGATCGTTCACTCAAATGATGGTTTGTTAGTGTGGTTGAATGAAGAAAAAATACCTGAGTTTCGAGAATTTTACTTTCAACAAAAGAAAAATGAACAAGAAACGCTGATAGCGCTGTTTTTGGATCGAAAGTGGTGTGGAGTCAAGCCAAGAATTGACATGAATGTGATATTTATACCGAGATTGAATCATTCGGTTTGATTCACAATTTGGTAACAAAAAAGGCGAAACCTCATCAATTCCAGTTGTAGTTTTAAAAATAATTTTGTTTTGTTCCATCTTGTGTCAATTCTATTTCTGTTCAATAAATTGTTGATCGAATAAATAAAATATTAATTCTCTACCATCCGTTCATCGCTTATTTCAGGCAAGAAACACAAAAATAACTTTGTCATTTAACTATGAGCAAATACCTTCTTTATCTGGCTTTCTTCTATTGGGTTGTCCAGTTATGAATGCGCGTTTTTTACTATTTTCTAAATTTCTCAAGATACCGAAATCAAGAAAAAGATATATATGGATATTATTCGAAAGCTGAAGATTTCCTCTACATTTTAATAAAAAAATTTTTTGAATTTGTTCAGCTTTTGGGCAAATTGACTGCACAGAAGAAGAGGTGGCCAAAAAAATGGAAGGGTGCCTTTGAATCAAGTTTTGGCTTCGCTCCAATTGAGTTAACCGTTTGATATTTTGCCAATAGATATATCCATACAATTTTTGAAAAATATAACAATTTCGGAGCATCTTCTCTTTTCTGGGCGGTTATTTTATACTATAAAACTTGAGGAATAGCTAAGCTGAAACAGGGTTTTTCGAAAACGACCTCTCCCTTTGTGCAGTCAATTTCCCAAAAAGTTGAATGAATTTAAAAACTTTTTATTCCAAAATGTAGAGGAGATCTTCAGCTTTCGAATGATATATAACACTCATATATATCTGTTCGATATCTTGAGAAATTTACAAAATAGTAAAAACGCGCATTCATAACTGGACAACCCAATATTTTTTGGCTTTCTCAATTGTTGAGCTAAAGCTCATAGTCTAACAGTTTCTAAACTATTTTGTGATCTTTTTTCAGATGTGCCAAGAGGACAGCGAATGTTTGCCGAAGGGTTGTCAACGTGGTAAATGTGGCGGTATTCCGTATCCTTTCTGCAAAGAATTTGTTTCGCAAACCCAATTTTCTTTTGGTTGATGTCATCAAGAACGCATGATTTAACGATTCTTGCATATTATTGTTGACTGTTTTCTGATTACGCAATAGATTTTTGTTGATTCGACTAAAAGTACTAAAAGAATCGTTAAATCATGCACTTTTAGCGTAAGTTTACAAAATTTTAGCCGGTTTTTGGTCGCTGGGTACATGTGGATGTGATCGTGCTAAAATTTTCGTCAAATTCGCTTTTTGGCCTATAAATTCCTTATTTATGCATGATTTAACGATTTTTGCATATGATTGCTGACTATTTTCTGATTATGCAATAGATTTTTGTTGATTCAACTGGAGTACTAAAAGAATTCCCGTATTTTTGCTCTTTTCACCTCTCAATTTGACCTTTTTAGGCTAGGAATTGTTTGTTTATCACTTTTTCGTAAAAGCGACTGATGTTCGTCGATATATTTTGTCCTTGGAGCATTGAAGCTTGCATCAATTTACCAACCTATCTTAACGAGTTACAAAGTAAATTTATGCTATAAAATAAATAATATTGTGAAATGTTTAGATTTGCACACTTATTTTGAGGGCAGCTCGGCGACACACAGGCCTGAAGGCGTTTTGGGAATGCGTCCACGGTCGAGAGAAAGTAGAGCGTCTCCAGCTCGTCCCAAGCTTTCTGAAGCTAAAGTTGTAGCTTAAGCTATTCAGCTTTACAAGACTCATCAGATGATTGATATTTTGAGAAGCATTTCTGACAAATTGTGTGCCCGCAGGGTAAAACAATTATTTTCTTCAAATCAATCTCTAGTGAATCGGAAAAAATCTTTCGCGGGATTTTGCTTGTTTTGCTTACATTCCCGATTGGCATTTGTGACATCTGGGCAGAATCAGAGGCTGAATATTTGTGGTTTTAGTGATAAAATGGGAGAATGAATTGATCAAGGAATTTTTGCGGACAAGGAGAAATCAACAAGCTCAAATTTGAAGCGAATATAGTTTTCTTTTACTAGGAATTCTTCTGTATTGGATTGAGTTTTGAAAATTGCCCGAAAAACAGAAGGATTTGTTGGTTGTTTTCATGAAAAAAATCGTACCAAGTATTTATTTTATTGAAACCAAAAATGACAAATTTAAAAACAAGAATGAAAACATAAACATTTTGTCAGTTTAAAGCAATCAGACTATTCCATTCGCCTTGTTCAACGACTCTTCATATGCTCGAAATTTCTCCTCCAATTCTTGATCTATTTTTGCGGTTTTCTCCCAATATGAATCAAGAGTTGACTAAAATTGAGTCATTAAATGAAATGGTTAACATTTCATGATTTTACCCTGATTCGGATTTGCTTTACTTTCGGGATTTGCTCGATCAATTCGGGGAGTTCACAAAGGAATTCTGAAAGAAAACTTTCTACATGAGTTTTCCTTGAGAAATTGATCGTGAGTAATTTCGTATTTAACTTTTCCACCGTGCTATGTACCAATTTTCTTCTTTACCTTGCAGCCAATTATCTCTCCCTTCGATTGAATGGAATTTTGGATATGCTGAACGTTTGTTACAAATTGAACATATCATGCGAAACCATCCAAAGAAAGATCTATCAACTGTCCGATGCGGTAAATAACATTTTGTGCAAATTGCGTGTCCACAATCCAGAATAACGGGTTTGCTTTCATCGTTCTCCATCGAGTCTTAATACAATTTTTGAATTAATTTCTATTTTCTCACATTTCACATCACATTTCGAACATACGAGTGGATTTGTGATCGGCTGAAGATTTTACTGAATTTGGTCATTAAAAATTGCTTTTTAACCTTCGAAAGAAGCCATCCATTTCCATTTGGAGATTCGATAATTGATGGATCGTTTAAAAGATCTGAAGTGATTCGAATAAGGATTCGTCAACGGGAGATTATGTAATTATTACCGCGTAAGAAGCCGGGGAATTCGTAAGGAATCAATTCAAAGCCAAATTGATCTTTTTTTTTTCAATGCTCTCTCTTTACTCCAACATTCTCCACAAATCGCTTTTCTACACCACAATTGACTCGGATATTTGGGATCATTACTCGATTTCGAATCTGAAAACCATGATTTGATTGAAATACAAGAGAAAGAGATAATTAATACGACTGATCTCAGACACTGCAACTAATTATTTTCAGCAAAATTCAACAAGAAAGTTTGGAATCTTTTAAAAATCCCTTTTTCTTTTTGTAATTGATAAAACTCACAAGGAGATTTGCAGAGAGAACAGTTCAATGAGTGGAATATCTTCAGTTCCAAACTCATATTTCTAAAAATCGACATATAAAGGAAAAAAATCGATTTGAAAAGGGAAAATGAGTGAAAATGGAGTCGAAAATGGAGTCAAATTGGGTGATAAGACGTGGTGGAAATGGATCGCAAAAGAAAATTCAAATATTTGGGGGAAAGTTTATGCGTATTCCTGTCAATTGTGGTGTGAAAATCGCGATTTTCTGGTTTTTGTAACTAGTTTCAATGCCTGAAAATCAGAGAAAATCAGCTTCATTTACTCCTTTTCACTTGTTATTTCCAGAAAATAATGAATTTCGATTAGGGAGCAAAGTTGAAAATGTGAATTTGAACTGATTGCGAATAATTGTACGTCCCCACCCTGTACCGCACCCCTCCCTAACCTAACCATTTTAGATTTATAATATTATTCCATCTACTTGATGCATATGTTTATCTAATCTACGCATAAATTACCATTCATAGTCACATCGATGTTTTCGCTGCACTTTCTCCAATATTTTCTCCTTTCTCCAGCATTCCGCCAATTGCCTCGAGTATTTGGAATCGTTTTCTGATTTTGAATCTGAAGAATCGAATTGATGGTATCAAAAATAAAAAAAAGGCGTAATTGTTTCAATTTTTTTCTCAGCGAAACTATCGATCAGGATTGTAATAGAATAATGAAATGGTAAATCAAAAACTGTTTTCACAAAATTTCTGATCCTGATTTTGTTCACATTTTTCACCACTAAAGTAATCGATTTTTACCTGGCTTTATCTGATTTTCTCTCCTTTTCAAAGTATTCAATTGCACTTTTTGGCCACGGAATTTCTTTGCGAGCTTCTCGAAATGGAGAAGCCAATTTCGGCTTTGTCAGTGAAAATCCATCAAGGCAAAAATTGCCAAGAAAGCATTTGTCAATTGAACATCTTTTTCAACACATGTGGTTTTCAATTTCCCAACTGACCAATCTTGAACTGTGTTGAATGCAGTGTAATGTTTAGTCTTTTACTTTACATAAAATGTATACGTAACGTTTCAAAACTCTAGATTTCCGGGAGTTGTGGGCTCCGAAAACAGCGCATTCACACGCTCAATGATCTTCTAGTTGAGGAACAGGTTCCAGTTTGACAAAGTGTCATATCTTAGCATAGGATTGCAAAATTAGTTCATAGAAAAGTTAGAGT